TTGACTCTCAAGTTCGTCTAGTGAAGGCAACAAATCTACTGCTCTAAAGTTAAGTTTTATACTGACGTGACACTCTATAAAATTAGAAGTTATTAGACGTTTTTACGAAATGAAAAATAACAAATTATGTGGAGATCATATCTGTCGGTCTGTCCGTCTTTCCTGGCTGTTTTTCAGCTAGTAAGAACACTTAAATAAAAAAAATGTATTTATTCGATACGTGAGAGTTTCACGTTTCAGCCAAATTGGCCCATAACGAAGTCCACTTTTCTTACTGTAATGCGTGGATAAAGAGGACACAACTCATCTTAATAAAGCACACTGTCCGCCATGTGGAGTTCTGTGTTGGCTACTGCATTGCGGAGTCAGGATAGCTCACTCAGTGCAGTGACAAATCTACTGCCTGGATGACCAGCTAATCGAGTTCGATTTACGTTATTTCTTCTCCACAACGTCCAGACCGGTTCTGGAGCCCACCCACAGGTGCACTCTATTCTTAGGAATAAAGCAAACGGAGCGTGAAGCTGACCACTTATTTCCATCTGTTACCGAGGTTAGAAATGCGTGAACCGATGGGGCTGGTCTAGCGGTTTGAATCTCAGCTAAAAAAAGGCTATTTTGACTGAGGTTTCCATGGTAACGTAATAATTATAGGCCTACTCTGTAGGCAATATTCAGTGTTATTGAAAGTCGTGGTAGACATAATTGCGACTTTATACGGAGGGGAAATTAAAAAATTCAGACTTTTTCCCTAATCGTCTGGGGCGACAGGGGGGAGTATAAACATTTAGTGCGCTAAAAGAAATTTGATGTTGAACGAACCCCTGAGCCGTAGTCTCATACGTTGTGTCTCCGGCTCCGGGAGGTTCACGAACCATAGTTTAAGAACCAGATATTTAAAGGCTGTTTAATAATGCTGGCAGTGGCATATTTCATTCAATGTAAATTAAGCCTAAAAGGTTTCGATCCTAATACGGGCTGCAGGCTACAGCATTGATCACGGCCAACGAGACGCTTGTATCATGAAGTAAACTGCATCACAGACAACTGACTTCTGACGTGTAGTGCCCATGTGACCAGTTACAGGTTTCTCTTAGATACGAAAAAGAACCAGTGCATTTGTTGCGGTATCTACAGGTTCTCCCGTCCTTGGGCACAGGCTGTCAGTTATGTGGCTATTAACCGACCATTTCCTGGTAAACTTAAAAAATAGTGCTCATTTTACTATGAATAATGGCCTTAGGGGCACGCGGTAGTGTAGTTGGTTGAGGCACTATGCTAAAAGCAGGAAGGTCGCGGGTTCGAGTCCCGATGGGGTGGATTTTCTTCAATTGACCTAATCATTCCAGCCGCACTATGGCCATGAGGTCGACCACGCTTCTAACAGAAATGAGCACCAGCAATCTTCCTGGGGGTTAAAGGGCGGCCGGCGCGTAAGGCTGACAACCTCACCGCCATCTGTGAGCCGATTGTCTAGAAAATGTGGGAGCCTCGACTTCTCACAGTCCTATGGGCCCTCACGGCAAGTTACAGGATAGCTTTACCTTTTTTTATACCGGGCATGTTAGTGGAGCATCCAGTCTGTAAATCTGTATTTTCGACAGTTCCTGGCTAGTGCCGTGGTAGGGCCTTAAAATAGGCCACAACTCTAAGGCCCTAAGGATAAAAAAAGTAGATCTGTCCCTGTGCTTAACTAAGCAGTATGCCATGAAGGCGTATGGAGGAATGGATGTATAGCTACACCATTCTTGACCTCGGGACTAGCTGGAGGTGAGTGGTCAGCTTCACGTCCCGGCCGCTTCATTTCCAGCGAAAAAGCTCCCAGTACTCATTGGGTAGAAGGCTGGGTATGCCCCAGAACCAGTCTGAACGCGCTATGGGGTAAAGAAAAATGTTACCTCTGCCCGGGATCCAACCCCGGCCGTTCAGCCCACCCGTCACTATGCCGACTGAGCTGTCCCGACTCGTAACCCCTGTTTCTAATGTCCCACCTCATTCGTCGCTAAATCACCTGTTTTGTAACCTAGATGACAACTTTATCTCGCGTCGCAGCTGTTTCAAAATATCCCCTCCCTCCTAAGAGTAAGAACAGTTTCCAAGTCACCTGATTTCCGTTCACTGTTAGGGTTAAAAATACGTGGAGTTAGCCTGTAATACCTCCTCTGCCCCATACGTCTTCATGGCGTGCAGCGCGTAGGAACACGGATAAGTTTGCTGTTTCTACCTTCAGCTATATTGGAACTGCGCTAACACGCCACTGCCTTCCTGAACGTGTACGTTATTTCGTAATTACACGCTGTTTAAAACCGAATGACGTGCGTTAGCAGTTCTCAGGTAGTTTCATCACTCACAGTCAAACACAACAGGAACGCTGTTATCGAGTCCATGGACACTTGTCTGTAAATTTACAATTTTTATGGAAAAACACAAGCTTCTTATCTAGGAATGGAAAGTTTCTAAATGCCACCTTGACACGGTGAGCACGGGCATTGAATTTGTTTGAAAGCATGTAACTTGAGGCTTGTTCCACAACAATCTGTGAGTCGTGAACCCACAAAGGCACGCCCTTGTGATTCTTTGTACTGTGGGTGACGCTTCTAGCATCTTGACTATATGAGGGAAGTGGTTGTGGCCTATACGAGGTACAATCCAGAATTTGCCAAGAAGGACTGAGAAAACCATGCATAACCTGTCAGGATAACCGGATGATCTGGAAGAGATTAGAACCAAGCTCCTCCATAAGTTTGGATCATGGCCCCTAGATCACCCTGTTCCGTTCCTTGAGTTTCATTTTACGAGATCATCTGCAATATTCAGGCGACATTGCTCACGTTCAGTTTCGTTTAACAAAAATCCAGTCTCTTTGTAAGTACTGTACATGTCGTATAATCATCCATTACCGAGCTAGTTGGGTCAAGCAGTAAGTCTTCTAACTTTCCTCTGGGAAGTACCCGTTTTCGAATCTGACTGTCCAAGGAATTCTGGGGTAAAAATAAAAAAGAGCAAAGCTGTCCCTGTAACAGGTCGCGGAGGCCCATAGGCTTGTGAGACGTCGGGGCTCCCACACTTTCAGGAAAATCGGCTCACAGATGGCGGTGAGGTTGTTAGTCTTAAGCGACGGCCGCGCCTTACCCCCAGGAAGATTCCTGGTACTAATTTCTGTAAGAGGCTGAGTTGAAAAATCAAGTGATCTCATCGGGAATGGAACCCGCCACTTTCAGCATTGTGCCTCACCCAACTACATTACCGCGTGCCCCCTATTCAGGGGATAGTACTTTGAATTATGCCACCTCGTCCTTCCACGCCCTTTAAAACCAATTACTGACCGGTAGTCAGTCACTACACACAGTCACGACACAGCCTTGCTTCGTTAATAACGGAAATTTTATTGATGAAGCGTCACAGTTTATTTGAAGTGACACAGAAACTGGCCGTTTCTTACATTGAAACATTGAAGTATCCAGAGCAGAGACTGCGCCATACCTTAGGCGGCTAGTCGCTGGCTTCCCACCGCGGCGGCCCGGGTTGGAGCCCGATTTGTGGTGGACAGAGTGGCGCTGGGTAGGTTTTCTGCGCGTACTTCGGTTTCACCTGCCCATCTTAATTCCACCAATTGCTCCACAATCTCTTAACATCTAGGGCTGGTACAATAGGTCAGTTTTGGTTGCAGTATCAAGTCGACTGTTTCACCCCTCTAAGAACGAAAAAATTTCAAAGTACAAATGGCTTGAGTTGTTGATCGATAAATCTTGTTCGTATTAGAGTTAACGTAAACAAATGGAACGGTGCATTTTAGTATTTGAGAAGGTTCAGACCTTCGTATCAGCAATTCACTCATTCCTTGGGATGACAGTTGATCAAGAAATTCACTCACCATTTTGCGGAGTCAAATCGTGCCCTCTGCGAACAGGAACTCTATTCAGAATTACTTCAGTCTCACCCAACCTTCACATTTGTTACCTTCTGCAATCCTTGCCTCGTAGGTATGTCGATTTCTTTCCAGTGACAATTTCCTTGAGGTTTCTACCAGTATTTCTGTATACGTAATTTCTCATTATATGAATAGCCTTCATGCTACATGTACTGCTCATACCACTCACCTTGTCTCAGTGACCCTAACCTGTACCCTATTTTTTTTAACTGCTATGCATACGGGCAAAGTTATCAAAATTCGCATTTGCTGGGGCATTACATGTTTTGTCTAGAGGCGAAAACCGAACATTGGGGACAGGCAAACATGGATTTGGAAAAATAAAGTCTAAAACTATAAATTACGAAGCTCCACATTGTATGTTCTTCATGCACAGTTTGTTTCGACGCCATTACTATTCCTTCTTCACAGACGAAGTTCCTGGCTTACATAAAAAGAAGTGTACACTTTTTATCTTTCTTTGAAAATTTATCAGAAAATTACGTTACTTCTTTGTGCTCACCACAAATTTTCAAGCAGGTTTTGAACCCATCATGCTACCTCCATATACCCAGCTGCAGTAAATGCTGTTAAGTTACATAAGGATGTATATATGCACACACTTTTCTCAGTTCCTCATATCAAATCTTTCATTCAACCCTACACAAGTGATCTTTTGCCAAGGGGTAACAATGATTAAAATAAACAAACAATATAACCCTTCCTCCAAACAACTCACCCCAAACCACTCCTTTGTTACAAATGTCAAGGGATATAAATTGTAAGTCTTGAGAGATGTCATAAACGCAAACAGAAGATATGAGAATTATTGTTATAGGACTGTGACATGTGTCAGAAGGAACATTGTGTAAAACATATCCCTAATCATCAAGCTATTACTACATTCCATTTTCAACATAGGATGGGTACAACATTTGCTATATCACATATCTTGCTGAACTCTCAAAATATCTTTTTCCCCAATACGGGTGCCCTCAGCAGATGTTTTGGACTAAGTTGGCTTGGGAAACTTCAACAGGTATTAGAAATACAAGGTAAATATATAAAAGGTGAAAAATAAAAAAAGCACTTATTTTGGCAAGTTTTCTCCACCTATTTTGTGAATTTCCATGTTTAATTTGAAAGAAGTTAACTTTTCTTTACATAGCTCTCTCCTTACAGCTCACTTTTCTTTACTATTACAATTATTACATTTACAATTTGTGAACAGAATCAATATGGTGACAATTTGTTTTCATAATTAAAAATGTACAAATACCACTAATATTTTGTGTAGTAAGATGATATAATATACATTAGACAAGACGTTTATACATTTGTACAGGAACGAAAAAAAATGACTAACATCACAGACAACAAAATAAAAACACGTTTTAATACTTTAACAACGGGATGAGAGGGGTAGGGGGTTACGTAAAAAATAAACCATGACCTGCTGTGACATCTTACCTATGTGCATATATTATATCGAATGTATGAAGTATTTGTTATTGTATGCAATTCACATCCCTCTCAACACATTACTACATTCTTCCATTAATTACATATTCTCTTAGACGTACATACATTCGTGATGTGGTCGGGAAGTGCTCGTAGTGTAAGTCCGTTGTAATAAAAATATGGATAGTAATTAAAAAATTGTGATATTAACATATAACTGTAACTTATAAAAACAGGTACCTTACTTAAATTATTGTGTGCATCTGTATTAAAAAAGTAACACTAAAACATATAACTGGAGAAGAAACTGAGTAAAATGATGAAAAAAGGTAATTTGTTCGTCTATAAAAATGTTTGATCAGAATTTGTTTCAATACTAAACAATTTGCAAAACAAATTGATTGATCATACAAGCACTTCTAAGCATCAATTAGTCTTTGTCTTAATTTATAACGTCTGATTCATTACTGCATTACAATTTAACATCACTGAAGTCTACAATTAAATGCAATACAAGCTCACACCACTTTATCACATTCATGATATTCAGTTTTATTTATGAATCATCATTATTTCACAGAAACGCTGTTTTCATTTCAACCATAATCATCCAAAATTTTCCAGACATCACAAATAATTTTTTAATCTAGCATACACTTCCATTTCTGTTAGGAGTGCTGTGTGTAAACTGTTAACTTTTACAATAACATTCTTGTTGAAGCTTTCTTTTCACCCTTCAATTTGTTATATAACAGCTCAGGTATTAACAACTTTTTTTCTCTCGAGTATCTCCTTCGAAAAAATGACTACACAGTAAACTCCCATTTATTTGCCAGTCATGGGGTAATCAAGTTTGTTGGCTGCTCGATAAGAACCCTTACACAAGCCCAATTCAAAGTCAAAACATGTTTTCACTGCAGTCTTCGTAGATGACATTGGATTGAAGATTCTAAATCACACACACACACCTTCAACTTGCCTCTGCTGTAACAGCACTTGCACAACAGAAATGATGGGTAGTGCTGTATAGCAGCTGGAATTACAGAGTGGCAGGTGAATATATGCACACTGAAAATTTATTTTTGAATAGCTCAATTGCCAGCTGGATGAGAATTCTCGATATATGGATACCTGATAACTGGGAACTGACTAATTTCATGTAAAATACATCATACTTATATAAAACTTGGGGCTCTCATGTTGGTAATTATGAAGTCTGTCTTCTTGGACCAGTAAATGATCTACCTTTCTGGAGGAACCCCCTTGTTCCACCTTCTACTCTGAAGACAGAGGTAGTATATCCACAGCTGACTACATGGTGTCACATCCCAGAAGACAGAAATCTGTATATCGTATTTGTTTCTAAAACCAAACGAATTTCCTTTCTATCGAATGTAAATACTGAAACTTTTCCAAGTTCTTTGCTCTCTACCAAAATGAACAAAATGTGCACCCAGCCTCGCTTGCATTCATAAATTACAGTACAAAAATGGGCCCACAAAATGAAAACAGAATTCAGAATAGGTTTAAGGGGGGAAAACTTAACAAATCAACCTGGACGTAACATATATACCCCATGAACTGGCCATGTTGACATATTGCTCAGCCTGCAAGTCTCAAGCAGTCATGTGGGCTGATACCATGAAATAGCCTTACAACAAAAAATCTTACACGAAATAAATGTGACTTAAATTCTACAAAATTGCACACGTCATGAGATTTGTCTTTTAAATATTCACGCTGAATTTCTGACAACTGGAATTATCAGCATAAGCTTGTCATAAAAGTCACTAGAAAATGTTACCAAGTGCACTATCAGTTTGTTCATTTCATATCATGTTTTCTCCAGATGTTGGAATTATTTCAAGAAATATGCATTAATACAAAAATAAAACAATTCAAATTAAACTGTCGTTCATGATGCAATAAATGGGTAGTAATTACAAAATTAAAAAGTACTTGGAAAACAGTACGTCCAACACACACCAATTCAATCCCATGATTCAGCTGTAAACAATATCAGATGAAGCATCTTCACCTTATCAGGAACAAAACAAAATCTGCAGTCACTTCTGTGTCTCTGATGCAAATGTTCACACCAATTGATGGAACTAATTGATGAATATTATTGATGATGATGATGATGATGATGATGATGATGACAGATGACACTTCACTCAACAGGATACTGGTCGGCTGTCAGGAGGTGTCACCTTTTCCAGATGAATAGGTGTCTGCAATCAAGGGAAACACAATTAAAGACTTCCTTCAGGCAGGCACATAACAAAAGCTAAAGATATTCTCACTGCAGTGAACATATTTTCATAACACATTTCCTTTTTCTATTTAGTGTGTCACTTCTGCATCCTTTCTACACGAATGTAAAGCTGTAAAATCAATCACATTAGACATTATTTCAGTCATGCCTTAGTTTGTTTTTTCGTCTTATTTCGTTACACACAATAACAAAAAGAAAACATTCTGAAGTAATAAACCTTAATAGGTTTAAATATTTTGTGAGAAAAGAAAAACAAACTCCGTGGTTTTAGTCCGCAAGCGAACTATACCGACCGAGCGACCGCCGCTTGTCGGCGAAGTTAGTGCCAACTTTAGCGGATAGGGGGGGTCGCGTGGTCAGCGGCACGGATCCCCACGGCCGTTAATTTCGGTTTTCTAGACCGGAACCGCTATTTCCTTGAAATAGCTCCTCAATTATCCTCATAAGGCTGAGTGGACCCTGTTTTAGACCCACTGCTACTCAGAAAATCTGGTAGCGCTCGGGATCGAACCCATACCTCTGGATCTGTAGCCAGGAACTCTTGACCACTACACCACAGAGAATATGAATATAAACCTTGTAAATTCAAATAATGTCGGGAAAATTACAGTAATGTTCTAAAATAAAACTCATTTTATGAGGTTATGTTAAATCCCTATTGTCGCACATAACCTATATTCAAAAGCTGGGCCTACAGCTGGACACTTGAGGTCAGACATCACAGTATCAAAAGAATGTCATAGAAGTAGGAAGGGAGTACTTAAGATTGTTTCAGATGAACACGAAGTTTTGCACGTGTTGGTCTGCAGATGGTCCCATGACCGTTATTGAGGTCCCAACCCCCCCCCCCCTGCCGCTCACAAGTCATTCTCGCTAGGATGCCAGGTGTTCATCTACTACATGAGGATGGTCGGCCGGCCAGCCAGCCGGGACCAGCTTGTGTGTGTGGAGAGAGTGTGTATGGGTATTATTAGTGCATTTTATATTGAGTGACAGAAGGGTGGGCTGGCTCCGTGGGAACTTTCACCACGCTCTTTATACCCTATTTAAATATCAACCCCTCTCTCTAGATCACGAATGAATACGTATAACATCTGCAGTAGTAACTGGGGGCTTGATTTCAAACATTAAGGCTCTTACGCTGCTTAAAGTGTCTCAACAATATTTGATTCGTGTAGCTGATCTGGGCGAAAATGGAAGAAATATGTCCAGAAGTTTGACAACTATAAGCGTCGGAGAAGCTGACTGGCTAACAGTTAAAACGGATGTTAAATCCAATTGCGGACTTGTACCTTAAAGAAGTCTTCGTACATTTTATACAAATTCTCCTTTGGCTGTGAACTTAGACACAAAAGGTCATTTCGCACTCGTAGACCAATAGAACCATTCACCAAGCCTCGCAACCAAAGGACATATTCCCGGAGGTTAAGCGGTCTGAGCGTGATGCTAACTTCTTTGGTGTCGTGGTCTAGAATCACTGAATCTGAACGTCCCATGTTTATACGCCTTTATGTCATGATCGGGCATAGGAGGGAGTGGCCCACAACTAGTGCATTTGCACCTGAAAGCTGTCTGATTACATCTATCAGCCTATCTATCCATCCATCCATCAATCTATGGCCCTAACAGCCCTCTGTTGGACCTTGGCCGCTTTTCAGTTTCTTGATCTTTTACACAGTTGGTAGGACTCCTTAGATGTGGGATCGGCCTGTCGCAAGGCCGCTACCTGCACACACATGACATCACAAACAGAATAAACGCACAGACATTCATTCCTCGAGTGGGATTCGAACCCATTATCCTAGTGTTTGAGCGGGCAAACAGTTCATGCTTACACCGCGCGGAAACATCACATGAAATTTGAATGCGTGGATCTCTTCCTCTACGACCCCTCGCCCGTAACGGCGTGGTTAGGCACAGGAATCAGGGGGGTCCCCTTCTGGGTCCTATATGCCACTATGTAGCTGTGATTTGGTACACGTATTCGCTGTTACAGAAATATGGGCTCCTATATCGAAGGAAGTTGTAACGTTATAACGGTGTTCTGCTCAGAAGCACAGGTGATCGGTCAAGTGAATGAACCAATCGCAGAGCGTGACAGACGTTCCTAGATACCACGTACTTTCTCCAATCCGCAAAAGAAGGAAGGTGAGACTTGGAAGAAAAAAAAAAAAGGTTAATTGAAAGAAATAGGCTAGGCGGTGCAGTTGCCGTGCACGGTGCTGCACCTCGCCGAAGTGGGTGGTGGGAAAACACAGCAACCAGAAACAACTGACAACCACGGCTTTCCAATCTCTTCACACAGGTGTTTTCACAAACACAACAGTCCAAATTTCGTGCCGTTTTATATACATTCCTTTTTTTTTTTCTTTCAAAAAAGACCTCAGTAACAACGGAAACGTGATCTGTAGCGAACGTGAAATCGTGTGGTCTGACAATTACTGCATACCGTAGGCGTTCAGACACGTTTAAGGCCATACTGCAAGACAGAACTAAGTCACTTATCACTCCCTCCTTATCATTACTTCTTTTCAAAAGGTACACAGCGAAACTGTGTGCCGGGACAGCGCAGTCGGCAACAGCAATTAGCTACGGGTTGGACGACCGAGAGGCTAAGTTCGAGTCTCGGTAGGGGCAAGACTTTCTCCTCTCCACGTCGTCCAGCCCGTAGCCAGACGCTACACCGACTGCTCTATATTTCAGAGCATATCAGTACGAATTACATTTCCGCTAATGTGTGGCACTTTCATCTGACCAGTTTATAAATGTTCAGCTGCATCATGGCTGTAGCATTAACGTTATTAGGGGCACGCGGTAGTGTAGTTGGTTGAGGCACTGTCACAAGCCGGAAGGTCGAGGGTTCGCTTCTCGATGAGGTCACTGGATTTTTTCAATTAACCTAATTCTTCCAGCAGCACTATAGCCTTTGGGTCGACTCAGCCCCCAACAAATGAGTACCAGGAATCTTCCCAGGTGGTAAAGGGCGGCCGGCGCGTAAGGCTGACCTCACCGCCATCTGTGAGCCGACTGTCTATATGATTTGGAAGCCTCGACGTCTCACAACTCTATGGGCCATCAGGGTCTGGTACAGAGACAGCTTTGCCTTTTTTCAACACTATTACCAGTAATATCTTCCCTTGAACAAAAAAAACATACACAAGTCCCTGTGCTTAATTAAGCACTACGCCATGAAGACGTATGAGGGAGTGGATGTATAGTAGCTCCACCTTCTGACTGGAGGCTAGATGGAAGTGGTCAACTTCGCGCCCCGGCCGCTTTACCCCGGAGTAAATCGCCCCGGTACGCACTGGATAGAAGGCTGAATGCGCCCCCGGCAAATACAAATTTTGATCATGTCAACTTGTCATATAGGCCCTAATATAAATACGCAATCACTCCTGCAGGTTGCCGACTATCAATTTAAAAGATGCGGTTCATACACACACACAAAATCTGGATTAAGAAGTGCCGCAAAGCAATCCCATTTTACTGTTTTCACAACACGGAACCTGTATAAAGAAACAGATTTCAATTGCTGTCATGCTGGTAACACTGACTCCCGCATATTAGTCTGCACCTGTCATCGTCCTGACTGAACGAGGAGTGTCTGCTATGTGAAATTTCACGAATGACATCACAGTACGATTTTCGTCACCCTCTACACGTTGCGAGTGACTCATTTCGTAGCGTGTTCAAAATTTCCCAACACTTGGCCAGCTGTGTATACATGGTGGTCGCCTTCGTACTGATTACTCTATAGACCTTCTTGAGTCAGCTGTTTAAATGTTTAGTTACTTTCAGAAATGGAGGGAAAACCCCTGAAGAGACTCACTTCGGATACATAGACAAAGATGGGACACTACTATCATAAGGAATCTTCAAAAAACGGGGTGTAAGGATGTGGATTGAATTAAAACTGACTCCGGCATACTCCTGTGATCACGGTATTGAACCTTCAGCTTCCACCAACTGCGGTGGGCTTCTGAACTACCAACTTGAAAGATGGCTTCGGATGCATGTTAGAGGGAGCCGAGCACTTCTTTTGAAGCCGCCAACTGTGCAGCTACTCAACAATTTCCCAGCATTTTATAGAACCCAAGTTTCATTACCGTCTTCACAAGAGACCTCCAGCGGTCCCTATCCAATCAAATCCATTCCATCCTATCCTAAGATCCACTTTAATATTGTCCACCTACCTACACCTTGGTCTTCCCAGTGGTCTCCTTCCTTTCGGCTTTCCCACCAATATCCTATATGCATTCATCTCCCCCATTCGAGCTACATGCCATGCCCAACTCATGCTCCTTCACTTGATCATTCTAATTATACGTGGAGAAGAGTACAAGTTATGAAGCTCCTCATTATGCAGTTTTCTCCAACCTCCCGTCACTTCATCCCTCTTCGGTCCAAATATTCTCAACACCCTCAGTCTATGTTCCCCCGTAATGTCGGTGTTATAGTGGAGTACGTTCATAAAATCATGTCTGGGTGCAACTGGTTTAATAACGTACCCAGCGGCGGGCTTCTCCGTAGGTCCAGTAGCCATGCTCAACCTTAGGATGTAACTGTACCAAGTCTAAATCATTTCTGATGATACTTCAGTGGAGTAGATCGTAAACTTGCTAGTTCTATGGCCAATATGCGCCAAACTCAGTCTCGCTGTCCATATATGCCTTCCGTTAAGGTTATGACATTGGAGCCGAAAATTACCAATAAAGGCAAATAAGAAATCAACGAAAAACACTTGTGAGGCCCAATCATTGATGAGGGGGGTAAGATCGAAGAAGAGACTAAACGAAATAGGCTCCGAAAATGTGAAATCACGCAAATAAAAACTCAGAACACTAAGATTTATCGTCCTCACAACCGCAGCATATCTTGATCACAGGAACTTCATATACTGAGGCCAGGCCCCACGTCATTGAGACGATGGAACGTAAAACGGTCTGTACTGTA